ATCAGCAGTTCAAGGCCACCAGCTACTCCATGGGGAAAAGATGAGGCGGTTTGCTCCACAAATATTTGCAGTTTTGGAAACCCTAGGGAGTAGCTCTATCCCAGAGGGCTGCTGTGAGTCGGAATCAACTTGACGGATTAATGAAGTTCTACAGCAAAACCGGAATAAAGCAGAAACCGGTCCAGGAAGGAATGCTAAGGTGTTGTCCACCAATAGAAAACGATCGAAAAGTGCTAAGATTGTACCTGTCAAAGGCAGAGATGCCTGAGACCCACAGAAACAAAGCAGGACCGCCAAGTTCGGCACTCACGGATTTCATGCATGATACTTTCTAACTGTCTTCACAATTCTAAATGAGTATTTCTAGCTTATATAATAATGTTGACGCCTATGTCATATATACGTTGTGATCATTCCTACCATGCCAGGAGCAAGGCCTCAGAGTATTTCTCAGCCAATGTCAATCCATGCATGTTGGTACCAAACCAGGTGGCCATAAATTTGATTCTGACTCCTAGCATCCCTATAGGACAGCATTAGAACTGCCCTTGACAGAAGTGAAAAGCCTCATTGTTCTCCCCGGGAGTGATTGGTGGTTTCAAACTGCTGACCAGGCTCCTGTGTGTTCGGGCACATAATGACAGTTCACATGGTACCCCTGTCTTATTTCTATCTCATGGAAAATAGAAATGCTAGCGGTCTGCAAAGACACCCCAGTTAACAAGTTCAGAACTCTGAACTTCAAATCGAATAACATATGAAGCCAAAATAAAATCTTTCCTAGGAAGCTACGGTCGCCTGCAGAAACCTACCAGCCCCACAGAGTTACAATTATGCTGATTACCTTTCTGATCACTTTACCATTATGTGCATTAACGGGCCAGTTACTTTGCTTGTTGCTGTGTCACCTTGCCCCCAGAGGATGGGGTGGACAGGGAGACAGAGCAATGTGTAATACCGGTAGACAGCTGGGGACCCTGATTTCTGAAAATGGTGAGACCATTCCACATATAACCCAAGCTACAAATTGACATTTATTGAGCACCTAGTGTGTTCCAACCTCCACGGAGCATACAGAGGTAAGTGAGCATCTCTTGTCCCTAAAAACCTGCTCAGGACTGACTGAGGGGTGTGGGGGGCCCCATCTGTGCCCCTCAGTGTCAACGTAATTGGAAAGAAATATTTACCCTTGAGAACCGGGTAGTTAAACTGAAAAGTGTACACAGTGTAAAATGAACAGCTAGTTCTGAAAAATTAAATGAAAATCATAGAACAATTAAAGGCAAAACTAAAAAGTATAGCCTATGCTCAATTCAACACTAAGATCATCAGTCTGGTATTGCTTCTAACAGTGTAGTTCATACATATGACTGTAATCTATAGCACGAGATAACTTTTACTCCATGGCCCAGCACACACATGCTTATACATACACAGAACTGAAAGAAAATTTGCATTTAAAAAAACCTCTTGCTTAAAGGAGCTGTTAATCCAGTTGCTTCTAACATGTCCTGTGTCAGTGCGCTCGGAGAAGAACGATGGCCAAATGTTTGGGAAGTAGAGTGCCAGGTTTTTCTTCTGAGATGCCTCTGAGTAGATTCGACCCTCTAACCTTCCAATTACTAGCTGAGAACATTCACCATTATCTTGACCACTCTTCATAGTCCGGAGTGCTCTGATACATATTTTTCCTCTTCTGTGTTCGCTTATGCTGTTCTAGTTCATGCTTTTTGAAAGAAAAAGTCTGCCCTATATATCCCTCTTTATGTCCCATTATGGATCACAAATCACAGTTTGAAGTACCATTCTGTAGAAGAATTTGACACAGTTCCGTCTTTCCATTAAAAGCAGCCTCTCAAAACACTTTGTGTGTGCCCTGATTCCAATTCCTGCAACGCCCAATAAAATTAACCACCATTATTGTTAACGAGGGACCAACCAAGAAACCTGATGGATGACATTGGTTTATCCATCTTGTTCCAGGCTCCATGTTGGGGATGTCACAGTGGAGTGTGACGAGAACCGGTGGTGGAGTGAGCATAGGATCAGGGGACATGTAGCCCTGGGATGGGAGGGAAGGGCCATGGGCTTGGGAAGGCCCCTGTGTCTGCATTAAAAGCTTAGGAGTTATCCCAGTGAGGAGGAGGAGGAAGGGGAACAATGGTTCGACAGAAGGACTGAAGATGAGCCAAGGACAGAGCCTGGTGGGCACCACGTTAACCTCCAAAGGAAAGGAAATGGTAGAAAGGTCAGAGGCAGGGAATGTCATGGCTCCAATCACTGTGACATGAGTAGCACCCCCCGCTGCTGTGCTGGAAGTGGCTGTGGTAGAAGCAGGAGGGGGCTGTGGTCCCAGTGGTGTGCGGACATTTGTGAGCAGATGCAATGGAAGCAGAGTAACAGCATGATGGCCAGTGTGGTCCTAAAGTGACAGCCGCGGTGTCTAGACTGGTGGGTATGATTGAGTCTGCCCCGATGCACAGCCACACCTTGACAACAGATTGAAACTCCACCCAGTCCGCGCCATCCCCACAAATCATCCTGGTTGCACCCATTGTTGTAGCTGCTGGATCAGTCCGCCACCTTACGAGCTTCCTCTTTTTCACAGACCCACGAATTTTACCAAGCACGATGTCCTTTCCTAGGGACTGGTCTGTCCTGGTAACATGTTGAAAGTTCATGAGACAGAGCCTCTGCCTGTCCTCCTTCTAAGACGTACTCGATGGTTCAACCGGCAGTCCACGCCCTTTCACTGTCTCCCAGGACAATGGCAACAATGCTGGCTCTTGGTCTTCCAGAGCCTCCTGCTGGGCAAGCCGCGCTGGGCCCCTCCTCGCACATCCCTGAACAGACGTGGCCGTGGTCTTGGGTGACTTGAGTTATTGGGTGAAATGAGCAACTCGGGGGCCCCTGATGTGGCTCATCGATTGTTGATCGCATGTCTGTGAACACAGGCCTAAATATGGAGACCTGCCCAGGCAAGTGGGAGCGGTCTACATGTCTAGTGAGGGAAGCGTCCTCTGGGACCCCCCGCAGGACGAGAAGGAGGGGGGTATAACAGCAGGATTGGCATGAAGGACCTTCCCCTCACCGGCTTAGTCTCCCCACCTGTTGATTCAGCACAGGTTTCTTAGGCAATGGGCCCTCTGGAGGGTGTGCCTGACCTGCTGCTGCAATTGTGTCACCGACGATCTGCTGTCCGGCCTGTGCTAAGTGGACATCCTGTGTTTACCGTGAACCCATTGGCAACCAGGCCCAGCTGGGTGTGAATCTAGGTCCATCTTTACCCACTCGGTTATCTCACCTGTTGGCCCTGTAAGAGAAGCAAGGTTGGGGCTTCAAATCCAACAGCCACTTTTGAGAGAGGGAGAGGCAGCCGACTGCTCCTTTAAAGATTTAAAGGAATGAAAATGTAATCCTTTTCATATTCTCTGTAGCAGCACATAAC